AGGCAAAAGGGGGTCCAACCCGTTACTGGACAGGTGTACCTAATAAAGTGACCGGTGAGTGTATATCCAGCCATTCAGCAAAGATGCTGTTACATGGCTGTAAATCTTACTGTGGCATTTGACCAATCAGATGAGCCCTTGAATGATATATTACCAACTGGAAATTAAGTTGGAGAAGAAAGTTAAGAGAAAAAGGTAAAAAGCTAATTGAAAAAGTTAAAAAGTTAAGGAGCCTAGTTTACAATTATATTTAGGTTTATAAACTAAAAAATGTAAGTGCCAGTATCAGCATTAATGCCTGTAAGGTTATGTTGTACCAAAAAACATGTGTTTCTGTCGCTCTCACAGTGGTTTTCATGAATTTCTTACAGAAGTACTTTTTTTTTTTTGTCATAATATATTCCGGCAAGTTGGCGTTTCTTATTACATTGACATAAATTTGTGCCGTCAAAATATCCATATTTTTTGAATGTTACAAAGGTAATAAGGTCTTGTCCTGGATTCCAATAACACTATTGGCTTGAAATATTGATTTTCAAAGTATTTCACTGAGTTTCCTATAAAGGGTTAAAACATGTAATCCTCACTGTTATGGTTACAGGAAAACATCTGCTGCAAAATGCCAGCATTAATTCCCGCCTCCTGCTCTGTGATTGGTCTGTTTTAGAGCGAAGAGTCTGAGTCTTGTCCGACTGATGTACGTCAGTGTAAGGCTGGACAGTCTACTTTTAAATACCCTAAAGGAATGCCCTCATTGACTGTAGGAGATAAAAGTTGTTGATTTCATCCACATACATCCAAACTTCTACCCCTGCTGTTACCAAGACGACCATAATATCTTCTATTTTTAAGTTTAAACGAAAGCAGTTTGTTTACCGTCAGCGTACCTTCAAATGCAAATTTATAGAGCTCCTCCGTCAGGTCATTCACCATGACCCCCTGTCCGCTGGTTTCCCTCAGCCAGGCCACGCGGCGGATGAAGTCCGTCACCACTTCGTTGATGGTGTTAGAGTATGAAGAGACGTGTTTGGGCTTCAGCATCCGAGGGTTGAGGATGCTGCGGATCCTCTGCCACTTGGCTCCCATCCTGCAAACCGGGACGAGGGAATTAAACAGATTTACAAAAAGACTGGAGAAAAGACTTATGATCAAGAGCTGAGGTTTCTAAGCATAACACTTTATAGAGTAAACTATAAACAGTTTTTCTTTCTTATCTTGTGTTTACATTCCTTAAAATTAGTCTGTATTGCAATATATTTAGTGGAAGCAATATTCTGAATGATGGTAGTAGTCTTTTTTGACAGTATTATATGTATGATGCTATTAAATGCTCATTCAGGGATATCCTCATTGGAAAATATAACATAGAACAAATACAGCAGGTAATAAATGAGGATTCTTTGGATATCTGATTTCTTAGCAGTATTCTGGGATGGAGAGCTGGCTGGCTGAGATAACACAGGCAGAGAATCGTGTCGTTGCCAGATAAAAAATAACAGTTAGCTGCTTTAATGATTCTCCCCTAATAGCTGCATGCCCAGACAGATCCACTCAGCAGTTAACAATGGCGTGCAACTATTACAGGAATTCATTTCAGGAGCAAAATATTATTTTTGTTGGACTGTATGTTGTGTTGGTAGCCAGCTGCAGGATAGTTCCCTAAAGCTCTCTCATGCTGGTCTCTCTCTTGAATGCTGTTCCTGCATTCATGCGATGGAGGACCAGCAGGTTCTGCAACAGCTTATTCCCCGCTGCCATGAGACTGTTAAACTACTGAAAACTAATCAAGTCACAAATCAGTACTCTGCATCACACCGTAAACATCATACTTGCACTACATAGCAAATTTTCAAATCCCTTTAATTAAATATAACTCAACTCGGTGTTCTACTGAATTTTGCACTACATTTATCTATTTTTGCACTGCTCTGAACCTTCCACATCAATGCCTTTTGCACCATGTCTCTCCTACACTGTTCACATTCTGATCACTTCTGCACTTTATAAATGGAAATGTTCATTTCACTGCTAAGCTGCTGTCCAAAAGCTGTATGTATTGAAATTTCATTTTTTATATACTCTGTATATAAAATGACAATAAAGTTTGTGTAAGTCTAAGTTGAAGCTACAGCGATCTTGGGTCAATAAAATGAATCAGACATGGTTTCTCACCCCAACTCTTCAGGTAACGTTTGTTACAAAGAAATGCTCCACATCTATTGCCAGATTAAAACACACTTTTCATCCAAGTTTTCAATACTTTTCCAGAGTCAGATTTGTAGAGTTTCCAGTACTAAAGCTCAAGGTTTAGTTAGGGGTAATACCGTATATAATCTGCAAAGGGAGGACAATGAAAAGAGGGAAAGAAAGGGAGGACAGAAGAAAAGATTGCAAGAAAAGAGACGATACAAGGAGAAAAAAGGAAGGACAGGGTAAATGAAGTTAAGAAAGAAGCATTTTATGCACCAACCTATATTAAAAGTACTGAAGTTGGGAAACATCTGCAACATGCAGGGCAGGTTGCATCAAGAACCAGAGTTGGGAAACACTAACAGAGCATCCACCAGCTGCTGGCAGGAATGTAAGTGTTGGGAAGTCTCCAATAACATTCTACAAAGTCAGGGCATACAAAGACTTTTTTTGTTCAGTCTCTTTGGACGATTCCCGGCACTTGTTTCCTTCTTTCTCCTCCTACTCCAACCCTACAGGCTTTTTTAGAGCTGAAACCATCGATTATTAAAATTATCATCAACTATTTGGTAGTCAAATCAAAATGTTACCTAGAGTAGTAGAACAAAGGCTCTAAAACACGCTATTAGCTGAAAGAATAACCGAATTACAGCAGTAAGAAAGACACAATTTTAAGATTTCCCATTGGAGACTGAAAAGATTCATTTTATTCATCTAATTACTGTATTTGTCAGCATAATTGAGCCATTTATAATTATCTGAAATTCACAATAGAGACTATTTTTTCTTAATTTCAATGTTAACTTAGTAAATATGTTCATTCTAAAGGAATTGATTAATCCAAAAAAAAAATTGGATAGATTAAATCGATCACTAAAATAATAACTTCAGCCCTAGTTTTTTTTTTTTTTTTTAGGATGAAGCTCTGGATACTAAAAAAGCAATTAAAGTCAGTTCTGTGTTTGGTTTGATCCTCTTTTTTGATTCTTCTCCAGCAGAACAAGCCTGTAATAAACATTTTCGATTTTACTAGCAGATGCCGCCTTCTTTTTTACATGAACTATTTTGCATGCAAAATCTTTTAATGCACTTTAAAAAATATGCAGAGTAAACATTTGCATTTATGATGGTAATATAGGTAAGGCATATTTGGAGCCTGCTTTCAAACAGTAGAGTAGATGGCATCAGGCCCAGATCGCTGCTCTTGGCAGCCTGCATTTCAGTGAGCTAAGGAGAAATATTACCTTCCTGAAAATCCACTTCACTGCACTTGGTGACAGATTCAACTCTTTTCCAGCCTTGTTATACATAATCACATTTTTCTTTTAACGTTGTAAATATTTTATTTCAATGGGTCACCCTGTGCACATTGTCATTCACTTCGCAAGTCGTTAATGTGGATCTGCCTCTTTTCACCTTCTCCACCCGCAGCAGCTTCCATGACTCTTCGATCTTCAAACTTCTGCTCGTTAAAGTTATTAAAAATCTCCCCCCATCTGGGGGTTTCAATCCCCACCCGTTCCCTTAAAGCTACCTACGGTGACGAGAATACTTTCAATAAATAACATAAAATAATTACTTTAATGTGTCATTAACTTATTTAAATAAAAAATAATTACAAGAGTTATTTTACTAAATGTATCATTCATTATATGGGCCTCAAATAAATATCTTGTTTACATTTTATTAAATGAATATAATTACACAAAGCTGAAGCACATCATCAATTAATTCATCAAAGTCAAGGAGGCGGGACTAAGACTGTTTCCATAGAAACTCTGATGCCTATATTCACTTCCTGAAATGAAATCAATATATTTAATTGATGCCCATATAATTCATTAGATACCTATTAAAAATCCCTGTATTTATCTCCAGTTTTAGTGGGATGTTTAAATAATTATTTTGTTTATTATTAGTCGGCCTTAGCAGATGGCCACTCACACTGAGCCTGGTTCTGCTGGAGGTTTCTTCCTGTTTTTCCTCTCCACTGTCGCTACAAGCACGCTTAGTTAATATAATAATATTAATGATTGATTTTTAGATGACTGACACAAAGTAAAAAGAAAACTAACAAACTGACTTTAGGATAAAGTATTACCTTTCTTTAGATTTATATAATGTATCTGCTGTAGTTATTATTTTGGAATCTATGACTTAAATCAAATGTTTTGGTATAAATTAATCAATCAGATGTATCTGAGTCAGCATCAGTGGTAAAAGTAAACGAGAACCATTCAGTTCTATACAACAGTTAAAGATTGAGGTGCAGGATCTCTATCAAAGGAGTCCCTAAGTTATATCCAGAATAAATATTTCATTTTCTTACTGTTAATTTTTGGATAAAGACCTTAATGAAACGACACATTGACCTTTTGAATATTTCTCTCTCATAGATCCTGTGCTTCTGTCTGTTTGAATAAGATGTAAATGTTTCCTTGTATAAAGATGTTTTCTCTACTTCCTTTGAACTTTTTAATTTTCTTGTTTTACATATTTCTGAAATTAAGTTCTGGATTCTATTCTTTATATTAATCACTTTTAATTTATTAAACCCTAATATAACATCATTTAAGTAGATGTCAGGGGTGAAACTGTTAAAACTATGAAACTTTAGTTTTCTAAGGGTTAACATAACTACTAATCTTCAACAAA